AATTATGGTGTCCCTACATGTTAGAACCTATCAACCCTAGTTCCTTTTTCAGGCTCTATCACCACAAGACATTACAGAGTAACAAAGCTCACAAAGTACTTAAATAAAGTGTCTATGTTTAATTTCTGCTAAGTACTCAAAAGGGTAAATTTAGGGAAGAAATAGCTAAAAACTGCCCCAAACTGGGCTTTTAAAAATTAAAATTAAAAAAAAAAAAAATAAAATAAATAGGATTTAAACTGACTATTTCTGTATTATGACTGGAATTCCAATGATCTATCCATGATAGATCAGCAAAACTACATGTAGCAAATTTTACATGTAGCAAATTTTAAAATATTTAAATAACTTAAAATGGGAATACTGAAGCAGTCCGTTAACCAGATGAATCGGGGTTAAAACACAAAACACAAATGAGGATGGCAGACGTGTGAAAGCGTTCCTTGCTCTTAGTGTCAACTAAGCAATGTGTTATGGCAGTCTTCCTTATTGACATGACACAGTGTTGTGGAGATAAATCAGAGGCAGCGAGAAAAACGCGTTCCATTTTCCATTCCTTCAGTTCAAAGTCTCACTTGGCGTCCAGGCGCAGCCAGTGTAATCCCTGACGGGTGTAACGCACTAGGTCTGTCATGATGCTCGAATTAAAAACCAGAGGGCCCATAACTTTATCCAGTTCAGCAAAGAACTCTAAAACAACAGAAACACGAGTTAAATGATGGCACATGTTCTTTCACATTGGCTGTTTTATGGGAAATAATCACCCCCCAAACCTCCAAATTCTCAGCACAAATTGTTTGGATTAGGGCAGATAGAAGAACAGAAAGATGGATCAACGATGGAATAATAAAAATAAAGGTAAAAGGTCCTTTCTAATCAGCTCTACTCTTCTGCAGAAGCCTCTTTGATAAGGATAATTACAGAATGGCTACACTGTGGTAAAACTTCCTTGGTCTTCCCCCTCAAATGTGCATTTCATTTAAGAATTTCAGAAATGGAAATGTACCGAGTTCCTCTTCCTACACTGAACATTTTACAGAAAATGCAACAGCTTTGTTTGTTTGTTTGTTTTTTAAACACAGAGCAGGAAGGAAACACTACATCTCCAACACCGCTTTGACAACCACACAACCAGCCAGGGTTACCACTGTAATCAAAGGTTTAACTTTCCATCTCACTTCTGCAGAGGATCTGGTTAAGCATCCTGTGCACCACTAACTTCAAAATTCAAAGCCTGTGAGCACTTCAGCACACATCTGATGTTACAATCCACCCCTGCCAGCCTTTACCTTTCTGTTCTTTAGACAGCTGTTCGGCTTGGTCCCAAATTTCAGTGGCATAGAGGAAGTTGGACGTAACCTGGACGTAGCTGGCTGCCATCTGATGGATCCTCTGAGGGATCGTCACCGAAGACCCGCTCCCTGAAGGGTTAGCTGCCCCAGAAGAGTAATTTCCTGAATTCCCTGGAGACAGCTTTGGAGAGACTGGAGACGGCATACCAACAGGCTTGCTGCTTATCCAGAGAAAAAGATTCAATTGTAAAATGCACATATACACATTTATGTACATCCATATGTACTTTTGGCACATCATGCTGTAAGATGTCCTCTAAGAGCCCTCTTCCCACATATCTCAGGGTGTGAGATGCTAAAGCACTCCCACTTTACACACCAGGAAATCAAGGTTTGCCCTACAACAAATGAAATGCATCAGCTAGTAACAATTGCTAAGGATCCTCCGACTCTTATGTTCTAGCTTAACAGCCAAAACTTAATTACCAAACCTCATCATCTCTTAATTCAATAAAATCTCAGATTCAATGTTTAAATAAATTGAATCTTAAAGAATAACAATGAAAACATTCCAACTCCATAATAACTATACTGCCATAGTATGACACTTCCAGGTAATGATGCAGATCTGAAATGCCCTCCTAACACTCACAGAGTCATTTAGCAAAGGTCCATTGTTTGGTTTTAAAGAACAGACAGAAATTTCCATACTATGGAACAGACAAGCCTGAAAGTACTTGCAACCATCTGGGCTTGCAGCATTATTGAAGCTATTGTTTTGAGGGGAAAAAAGTATTAAATAAAACAACAAAACTCACTGAGATGAGTGATGTGTGTTAGTGACACAACTTTTTTTTGTTTTATTGCAACAAGGAGTTGCCTGACAAGCTCTCTGCGAGCACCATCACCAGCAGCAGTCTCCTAAACCTTTTATCAGAATAATATCACTATTATTCAATCAAAATCTACACCCTTAGAACAATCATCCCAACACTTTAAGGAGTGAAAAGCCCCTCCTGAGCACCCCAGGCACACAGTTTATGTAGAAAACTACCCACAAGTTGAGAAATACAAGTAACAGTTTTTACTACTTACCTTCCCATACCAGGTGATGGTGCTTGAGAATTATTATAGGAATTCTGTTTGGGGAAAAATAAATTTGTCACCTGATTTATGTTTATACTTTAACTAGTTATACTTTATCTGGTTACTTGATTGGTTATTTTTGAACAAATTAATTTTTGCAGTTTTTCTTTCAAGCAACAACTAAAATTCTGAAAAATATCACAGTAAATCCAAGTTTGGGAAAATATCCTTTTTCACTGATAACTAAAATACAAATTAAAGGATTATTTTAGCAACACAAAGGAGGACACTAAGGAAATACAGGATTGGAGCAGTTCTCTGTTCTAACCATTAGGTCTCATTTCTTCTTATGAGAACGTTCTGGCTTTTCCAGCCTGTTAAATCTGTTATTACTGGCACTGAACAATTAAACATCTGAAAAAATCTGAGAAATCAGGCGTGTGACGAGCCTGTTTCCTCTCAGTAGTGACAGCTGGAAGTTTCAGAGAAAGCCAGTGACATTAGCTACCACTTCACGAGAAGAAGTCTGAAAACTGGATTCAAGATTTCAAAGTGATGCAGAGCTTTAGTTTCATCAGGTTTTAATATCCCAAGAAAATACATAAGCAATTACCTTCAGATGTTCAGTCAGGGTTTTAGAATATTTCAACGCACTTTCCTTTTTCAGTTTGAAAAGCCTTAGGTATAGTAGAGCTTGACACCGAAGACTGACCAAAGACACAATAACAAAACATTTACAGTTAAAGTCAAGTTTATCACAACTGACTGAAGTTCAAAAATCTAGTAGCTGTGTTTTCAAAGCTTTCTTTGCCAACTCTCAAGTTGTAAGTCTACAAAAAAAAAAAAATCTCTAAGTACCTTAAATTCCCAAGAAAATAAAAACATGGCTTCACGTGCCTTCAGCTGAAGCCATAATTTTCAGAGATCTTGCTGATATAATCAGTTTCCAGCTCCCAGGAACAACTAAGTTACTCCCTAGACAAGAGTTTCATTTATTTTTTCACTGGTGTCAGGACATACTGAGTCTAATGCATTCTGCCATGGCCTCCCCCCTGTCCTTGACACCTCACACCAGTTGGTTGTGGTCCTCTACACATGGTGCAACCATTTCACTCATCTAGGAGACCAGTGACAATTCTTTACAGCCAGCCTGGATTTTGGCTTATCACTGGGTGAGTACATACAAAGGATTCCCATCTTTTCTGCTGCTACTCCATAGAAATCTAGTAATTTCCTTAATAATTCATTCCTGGCCCTCGCTGTCAACATCCCCTCTGTCCCAATTTACAGTAATCAGATATACAGCATTAATCTTTACATACAACCAAGTGGAAAACTCATAAATTGGTTCAGAAACACCTGAGAATTCAGTGTAATACAGCACTGCATGTAGATAAAACATCTGAAATTAATCAGTGCACTGTATGAAGCTCAGAACACACATACCAGAGCACTGCTAGCCTTTTATCTGCAGCCGTAGCATCCGGGGCCAAGTAATTCTTCAGTTTCATAGTGTATCTACAAACAAAGACATCAAGTCAACAACAAAATAAAGACTGCAGTATCATTTATCAATCACAAAACACTGACGTTCTTATGAATCTCTAGTTTCATTGCCTTCACCATTTCAGGAACCTCTCTCAACAAAATGCTGATTAGGTAATAACTGGAATAATTTTGTTTCTCATGTGTTACGCACTGAAGAGACTTCAAGAGCCTTAGTGGAAAGCATCTCAACCTCCATGAAAACACTTGAAGCCTCAGCAACTGGAAGAAAATGGAAAGCGATCCAGTTTTACTGGAGAATGATAAGAGATTTCAAAAGTTGGTGGCAAAACTTTAGTAAATCTAGAAGCTCTGATTTCCAGACCTCTTTTCCCACCCACTTGACTTTTGTATATGCGTTGCAATGCTTACTTGATTAATTCCACAGTTTCTGAATACATAGGGAACGGGGACTTGGATTCCTGAGCATTTTTCTCCAATGCATTCCCACACTCAATGAACGACACTACAGCATCTAGGTAGTACACAGCCTTCTCAAACCTGTCAGACTGAGGAGAGTGGAAAAAACTTTTAAGGACAAAAACCAGAGAGGAAGTACAAGAAAACTCCAGTACAGAAAGGCAGCAAAATGGCAAAAGGAATAAGCAAACCCCAATATAATCCTGGAAACATTTAGACTGGAAAAGACCTTTAAGATCATCGAGTCCAACCATGAAGCTAACACTGCCAAAACCACAACTAAACCATGTCCCTGAGTGTGCAAACACTGGATAAATATTGGAAGTTTACTTACCAATGCATCTGCATTATGTTTTAACTTCTTTGCTTCTTGTAAATAATGATCAGCTGAGTAAGTCCTGCAACAGAAAACACAGATTTATGGACTCAGCCCCACCTATTGCATTTGATTTTGTGACTGAAGTTTCTTAACGTTGCCAAACTTATTACTTCTGCCTAACTCAAGTTACAGGAGATACACAGGTAGCAGCAGTGTCCTGGGAAGGTGAAAAGGACCCATCAGCATTTAAAACCAGAAAAACTCTGAGCTATTTAAGTCTATGGCTGGTCATTTTAGGCTTGGCAGGAACACACACAACAGGCTACGGCTCCTCCTCAAGGACTGTGCTGTCTGCCCAGCAAACGGCACCGGGAGCCGTCAGAGCAGCACGTCCCTGCAGGAACCACGCGCAGCTCTCGGAGCCCGAGCTTGTACTTAACATCCTCTGTGAAGCAAAAGGATGATTCTTCTCCATGGGGAGCTGGTTGTGCTCTGAGATTCCCAGCCCCACAAAGGGAAAAGTACCTTTTGCTGTTCTTACCTATCATCAAAAACAAGTTTTGCTCTTCTTGACTTTGAACTTTCCGTAGACGGAGCAGACGCGGGAGGGCAGTTTAATGAATTGTTCAGAATCTTTTCCTGAAAGAAAAATTGTTGTGAAATAATAAGTTTAAAGAACTCTTAAATCTTCCCCGTCTTCAAGAAAACCATTTGTTGTACAAATTTCTCCCATGACTTCACAAATTATATGCAATAAGGTCAGTTTTGCATGGCTTTCAGTGCCATTCACCATAGGCATTAACACAGCTTCCATGAGGCCTTCCCCTAATGCTGGCACAAGGGCAGATGCAGAGGCTGAGATCAAAATCCCTCTAATACACCAGGAGATCTCCATTAGAGGAAGGAATGCAGCCAAGGCTTTCTAGACACACCTGAGTCCAGGAAATCCCTCCCTTAATCTCCCATGTCACTGTTTCCAAGTCTATTTTTCCACTTTAACAAAGAGGTGGTTAATATTTTTAAGATTTTTCATTTCTCTCAACAATACACTCTGCTGAATGTCTTTGCCTTGAAAAAAATAAGTATATTTTGGAAGGATAAGCATCATCCTCAGAGAGAAAAGTTAGCTGTCTTCAGAACACACTGTCCTTGCTCTCCTAAATTATACATGGCTCAGTGTGACACTTCAGGTTAAAGACTGGACACTACCAATGTTTTGTGAGTTCTAAGCAAATCCGTTCTTAGCAGCCAAACAGTATAAAACAACTCCCCAGCTTCATTTTCCGCTCTCTTGATTTATCATGACTAAAGGCCATCTATACAGATGTGTCTCATAACCTACCCTTATCAGATGATTGCTCATCAGAAGAATCCTGGCGTTGCAAGGCACCAGATTTGCACAGCAATGTACTATCTATCATCGTAACGAAGACACAAAAGCGGCGGCGGAATGCAGGAAGGGTACGTACTACTTTGAGAAAGGCATGACTAAGTGTATCTGACGTATCAAATGATAAACATCTCACAAATTAGCAACTGGCTTAGGGACATTTCTATGCTGATGAATAAAGAAAGGGCAGAGTCTTGTCAGGTAAATCCACTACCTACAGTTCCTGGAAGTGTCTTACGCAGCCACCGACACACGTAACCCTGCCAGGCTTCTCGGATCTCATGGTGTTGGCATCTGAAGCACCAGAGCCTGTCTCCCAGTTCAGGTGCTCATGAACCCCACCCTGATGAGTAAGTTACCTCCTGCCATTGTTCACGTCTATCTGCTGCTTTACTCCTCCCCCAAATCAATTATCCTTGCTGAACATTTTTAGACTTTGCTTCTAAGCCTTTCAGAGACTGAAAATCCAACTCCTGAGGTTTAGCAGTTCTTAAAACTACTGGAGTTTCCACAGCTCATTGGAGGCTTTGGGGCTTTGCTGCAGAGTGCTTGGAGACAGTCACACCAGCACCTGCAGCACACACTGGAACTGCAGAGACAAAGCTGAAATCCCTCCCAGTTAAACATACTGGGATCACCAACTGGCTATACAATGGAAACTGCTCATCAGAAGTATGCAAGAATACATTCTGAGATGTCCTCATAGGCTAATTTCTGTCCAGTAATACACATTTATATACTGATGAAAAGGTAAATTACAATTTAGTGACTTAAGAGTATAATCTTCCTATGATATGTTTAAATTTCACCATCTAAATATCTTCCTAACCTACATCTCTTAGAAAGTATTTTCTGGGCCATCTTTATAACCATGTTTTCTCCACTCCAACCACAGAGAGCACTGTAGATTCCTGAGCTGGAGTTAAAATAATCTTTCTGGAGTCCCACAGTGCCATGAAATTAAAGCTATAGCTAAGCATCCTAGCACTGGGTGGGACCAAACCCCTGCTCTCCTTAAAATTCAGGGCAAGATCTGTTTCTGCTCCAATGAGGTAAGAGTAAACAGCTTTCTAGTGATATTTCTTATTAACAGATTAAACAATGAATGAGCAGCATCAGTAATCAGAAGATGACTAAACACATTTCACTAATTAAGCTAAGAATTCAGTAGGAATAAGCATCAGTATTCCACGATCTCTCCCAAGTTATTTTCTAATTCATAGACTTCCAGGGTACTTAAGCACCACGACATGAACAAGGTACGTCTAAAACTAATTACACCGTAACCTGAACTATCAATTCTTGTTTAGATCACACTCAGCATGTCAAACTGCAAAGCAAGGAAACAAGCTTAAGGCATTTCCAGAAAAAACCCTTTACCTTGGTTTCTTTAGCACTGCTGGAACCCTTCCCCTCCGTCTTCTTCTGTTTAGATGAGCTGCTCTTACTGCCACCACTACTCTCCTTGCCAAGGTTGCTGCTGGACTTTAAGGATGATGACTGACTGACCGTCCTCTTCCGGGACCCATGCTCTTGCTTGGAATCTTTCTGCAGGGCTGGGGCAGCAGGAGATGGCAGTAAATCCTTCTCCTTAACAGCACTTGGCTTTGAGGACCTGGATAAAATGAACAAATTCAGGTTTGGGTTTGTTGGTTTCTTTTTCCCCTGTAAAAACCAAAACCAAGCAACCAACCCACCCCAAAAAAACTCAACATCACAAAACTTTTAGGGTGTTTTTAATTAAAAAAAAAAACACTTTTTTTTTTTCTTTTTAAACAAAAAAGATTTTTGTTGTTAGACCTAGCAAACCAGATATGGGGGAAAAGAAAGAGAATAATCATCTCGCTGACTAGGTTTCTATGAAGCCAGATTGAACTAGTTTTCACCATTTTATTTGTTCTGACCTGAAAACAGAGGAGATAAGTTCTAACCATAAAACCACATCCCTACAACTGTTCTTAAAAAAAAAAAAACAACCTAAACACTTACAATATAAGAAGTTAATGCCAATGTCAGCACCAGCCTGTCTGTTACAGACTACTCAGCCTACCAGCCCAGGAAAAAGATGGTCCAGATGCACGTTCTCTGGAGCACAGGAAACTGGAAAGATTCCTCAGTGCAGCCTTTCTGTACACTCTTCTGAGGGCTACTGCTGACTATTCTTGGTTTCCCATAATAATTATTTCTACAGACTATTTTTATAAAATCATGCAGTTTCATTTAATTAAATGTCCTTCAGATAACTGCACTGGCAATCAAGCAAATACAAGAAATAATAGGTAAAAAAGCACAATCAAGTTAGAAATGCATCTGGTTGTTCTACATCTGTTTCCTAACAAGTAGTAAGACACTGTTTAATTCAGAATGGGCAAACAAGATTTCCAGCAGCTGATGTGCTGCAGCTTCTCACACATTCACAATTTGGCCATTACTCACTATACAGAAATATTTTCCATGACATAATTACACCAGTTTTCAGTTGCTTGCTCTGAAGTAGCAGAGTTTTAAAAGGCAGTGGAAAAAAAAAACAAAAACAACAACTTACTCCTTCCTGTGGATTAACACTGACCAAGAAATAAATCAAATACAAGCATAATAGCTATTACAGAAAGCATGGGGAATTGCAGAAATCACATACAAGTAAAAGAGTATTAAATAACATTATTAATTTTCTAATTCTGTATTATTATTTTAGTTTTGTGTTGCCCACACTTTTCTTTAGCTTATCTATCAAGCAAATGTGAGGCTAAATCCATGGATCCAAACCTCAATGCCATCAGCTCCCCAGACAGTGCCTGTTAAGCAACTTACTCGCAGTTTACAAGCTTGCTAAATGGAGAATGACCAGGTTGGGTTAATTTAAAAGCACAGATTTTGCAAGATCAAAAAGCTAGATGCACAGCTGACTTCTGAAACAAAACCAAACCCCACTGTGTGTCAGAGAAAAAGCAGAAAGCACACATTCCTTAATACACCAACCCTCCACACGAGGGGTGACCTTACTTCTGTTAAGTAAAACAATTGCCCTTGGCCAATGTTTTTTTGTTATGGAAATTAATTTTCAGCAACTACTAGTAGAAATGCTGAAGTAAATCTGTCTGAAAGGTAAGAAATAATGACATTTTACCCATCGATGAGTAATGAGGAAACACTTTGTCAGGGGCAGGGGGGAAGAGGGGCACTCATCTTCTCCTCGACCACCCAGAGCCTTCATTGTTGACAACCCAGCCAAGATACTCACTCTCTACTGCTAGAAATCTTGTGTCCTGACGGACCTTTTTCTTCCAGTTTTGTTTTCTTGCTTTCACTGGCTCTGTTTTCATCCTCATTCTGAATAAAGCAAACAAGAAATACATGCAGGCAAACGTCCACATTTCCAGCTTCGCCGAGAACAGCAATGTTTCACATTAAGAGACTTAATTCAGCATGTGTTTTGCAGTGTACAGAATAAAATATATACAGACCACAAAAACATGCCCTGCAACATCTAATTCCTATCAAATATTTGACCAGACCCTGATATTGGAACACAATAAAAGACAAAGTCTGGCTTCTAAGTTACCAACCTCCATTAAAAAAGCAGCAGCTAAGTTGTTGATTTTAGCACAGATATCACCATGAAATACCAGAAAAATCTGCCAAAGGCTTCAATAAGAGACCAGAAGACAGATTTTATGTTGTGGAGCCTAACAGAGGTGTCTTATGAATGCCAGAAAAAGGGACAAGTCTTGCAGTCTATTAAAGCAAGCTCAGAGATGTTGAAGACTAGTTTGTTATATAAAATTAATCCTAAAGTTAAAGGGTCTTGAAGGTAAATTTCTAAGCACTGGAAGTATCAATACAGTGAATAAAATGGAAAACAAGGCCTCACAAAGTAAGTCATCTGGTAACATAACACAGATTCAAACTCAAAAGGTTTCATTTTTGTTACACCGATGCTGCAACCCTGAGCCTCACCATGAAGGAAACACGTGAAGCAAATACCGAGGAGAAATCAAGTGGTGACAGCTGCAAACAGAACACTCACAAACCTAAAAACTGGAGGGGTGGGGGGCAAGGGTGGGGTGGGTGTTTCTTTAGTTGCCTCAAACGGGCTGGCATCTCCTCTGGTACGTACCAGTAAGCACCAGTGTCATCTGAGGATTCAAACCAATTAACAACCAGACTATTTGCTGGGATAAAGCCTAAATTTAATTGGTCTTACCAAAGCTTTCTGGTTTAGATGTAAGAGCACAGATCTTTAATGCTGTAACTCCAAATGTGGACTGAAAAGGCATAACTGGTCAAAGACATAGGAGTCAATTATATAGTGACACTTGTAAAAAAATAATTAGTCACTATACTGGTCAGAGTTATTCCAATTTTACAAAAAAAGCTCATACCTTCTCACTTCATTTCCTAATCCAGAGAAAACAGCAATCTTAGTTAGGAACAGAACAGGAGAAACCCCTGTTGCAGTGACATATCAAGTCTCCCAGATGACACTAATTTCTGTAAGGGACCAAGTTTACTTGGGTTGCTCAAAAGGAAAACTGGTTTAACTGAAATTATCTTATCTATCTCCTCTGGAGTGTCAAATGACTCTGGATGATATCACATAATCCTTTGACTCCACATGTCAACAAAGTCTTACAACCACTGCCAAATCCCTGTCAAAATGAAATTTTCAGAATGAAATGCAGAGTAGCATGGCAATTTTTGAACCCTTGAACCAGAACTTCACAGAAAGAAGAAATTTATAAAAACTCCTTGGATCACTGAGCCCATCTTACAGTCACAGGTTTGCTCTTTATACAGACTGTCTGTGTTCTGAGCTTTCTAAAAGCAGTTTAAAATTACACCACCAGCTACTTCTTATCACCCACCCCCTCCACAAGTATTACTTCTATTCAGCTCCCCCACCGGTTCCTGTCCATTGTACTGCC